TATAATATGACGTGTCGTCGTCGGGATGCATATAGCGACGCCGCCGTGTATAGGAATTCCCCTTTCAGGGCCCTGAAGTCGATCGCACTCCACTCCCCTTTTGCGAGCAGGAAAGAATAATATAAATAACGATGATGATAATAATGTATATATACGAAATATAAAAGCCTCGGTAGATTATTGAAAAGCGAAATGGAAAAAAAAACTCTGATTTATGTACATATATATACCGCGCACGTATATAATAAAACTAATTGAAGACATTACGCGAGCCCGAGGGGAAGAAATGGCGAATCAAAAAAGGGGTGCAACCCCTTAAAGCGGTCGCCGCCGAGGCCCGGGGGCTCTTGTCGGAAATGGCGGACACGAATTTCCACACACACACACACACACCACTGGTGCCGGTGTGGGGTTTTAAATGGCTTTTTGTTCGCGCCGGTAATTCGTTTTTAAAAACAAGTCCGAGTGTAATATCGAGCGCGAGTGTGCCCCTTTTTATTTTTTTACCATTAGCCCACGTGGTCCGTTTAACCCGATTTCTCAGACGTTAGCTCACCAATAATAATTATTAAATTACATCCCGACCCGAATCCGTTCCTACCCACCACACATTCTCATATTATATGCCTACCTCCCGACGCGTATAACATTATTTATGTAATAATTATAGCATTGTCGTCGCAATAGACACCGAAAGCGTTACCGTTTACATGAACGTGAGAAGTGCGTATATAGAAATAATGAAAACCATTATACAGTTTCCAATATATTAATAATATCATGGGATACGATGTAATAAAGGCGTTTGGATGAGCCTCGCCGTCGATTGTTGAGAGGTTTCAATTGTTCTGGCCGGGCGATGATGGATTCTCCGACAATGATGGTGCTCGAACAATAATAATAAAATATTATTACGGAACGGCCACTAAATTAAAAATAAATGAATTACAAATGTTATAATATTACAGTTTATTATATCGGCCGTTAAACGCGTATTCAAACATCGTAAAATTAATCGAAAGCGATTATCGTTTAATTTCGTATAGCCTCACATCGTATATTATCTATGACGGACGGAATTAAAAAACAAAAAAACGAACGAACAAGTGTCCGACTGTAATCAAAATGCAAGTAGCGATAGATCATCAAAAAACATTATATAATATCATAGATTTCTCAAAACAAGCGACCGAGATTTTCGAGCGTGCAGGTGTTAATATTATCGTTACAAACGGAGGTAAGAACGAGCAGATTTTCCGTGATATTTGTTGTACCCATACTCGCATTTCGTTCATTACATGTTTCGGTCGGACTTATATGGGCGCGACTTGTTTCCTGCCGCAGACGACGGGTTTTCGCCGTGACACTAAAAATAATGAAAGGAGGAGACACAACAACAATAATGATAATAACAAGACGTATAATAATATAATGTACAAAACCACTCGGGTTCGGGTAGTGCGCCGGGTTCGACATGATAGATGAAACGCACCATATGTGTCCGGCGACGACTGCCACGATCATTAACCCAACTCTGTGGGGCACACGTTTTCTCGGGGCAGCCATCATCACATTATATATTGTTATTATCATCATCACCGTTGTGCGCTGCGATTTTAATACGCATCGAAGAAAATGTTGTCATTAACGGCGGCGGCGCGGCGGCAAAATAAAAATAAATAAATCAGCCCAACCTAAACCCGCAGCTCAACGCTTATACCTACCTATAATAATATTATTGTATACGGCATATACGTGTCACGTTGTGCCGTTCTATTATCATATTATTATATAGGTAAGCTTTGTGATATATTAAACTACACATCGTATACTTAAACAGATTTCGTTTTGGACGCGTTTTTTGGGAACTCCGGCCCGTGCATTCTTCAGGTGTGATTTCCCGGCGACTGCCCTCGCTCGGGACCGCTAGAGACGACGTTAACGACTGCTGACTGTACCTATATATAAAGGTATATTAGCTTCGGTGGTACTCGCACGGCCGAACTGGGCCATCTCATAAAATGTGTATAGGCAGAGAAGGAACACGGACGACCTGCTGGTGAGAGAGTGAGAGGGAGAGTGTGCGGTGGTCGGCGAGAGAGAATGGACTCGCGTAGATATAATAATAATAATAATAATAATACGCGTGTACATGTATATATATAAAGCCCCCGCGCCGCCGACCACTAATCATACTCGGGACGGCGGCGGCGGCGTGTTCCGGAGCAATAAATTGCCCGGTCTAAACAGCACTGGGGATCGTTGCCCAACGTGTTATTACTGTTCCGCTAATCAGTTTGATCATACAAGCATAACAATCATCCGTCCACGTCGTTATAATACTGACTCGCGAGAGCTCTCCGACGGGGCGGGCGGTTGGGCGCGCGCGCGAGAGAGAGAGACAGACCGAGTGCGCGAGAGTGAGAGACGGAGACGGAAAAACACGAGGAGGATCGTCGTAAAAAAGAATAAAAACCTACAACCGATATTATACATATAATTTATATATATATATATATATATATATACGCTTGTATAAAATATATATACTTACCGGCTCGGGTTTATACCGCGGTACACGTAGCTGGTACCTCCTTTATTATTTTTTATACGCGCGCAGTACACGCCGCCGTATACCTAGTCAGCTAATATGTATATCGGTTTTTGTTTTTTTTTACTTTTTCACTTCGCATTGGAAATAAATCACAATTCACTGCAACAAAGGTACCTATATAATATAACATAATATAATATAATAAAGTGTTGTTGGACTCCGCGCCGCCGGTTGTGCAGTGCGCCTCTCAGCCTCTGGTGAAGAAAGTGTCTCGTGACGACGATAGCCTTTTACGGCTCCAAAAACAAAAAAAAAACCGTCGTCGTAGAAGAAAATAATATAATAATATTAAAATCGCAACTGCAGCCGTCGTGAGTTATTGGTCGGATTGTCATCGCGAGCGGGTCGTCGTCGGATGACTAAAACGAGTCGATAGCGCCGACGGCGCGTCGTCGTCGCAGTCTGTAAAACGAACGCGTTGAAAACGAAAAAAAAATTGATTCAAAATTTTGCGCTTTACGATGACTGTATTGCCGTAGTCATCGTCGTCGTCGTCGTCGCCGCCGCCGCCGCTGCTGTATTATATACCTTAAACTATCCGAGAAGAATGTCGTTTCGCCAGTTTGACGCCGTAGGCGAATTTGGTTAGGTTTTTTTTCGACTTTTACCGTTTACCGCATTCATTATAAATATATATATACCTAGTAGTAATAAAATATTATATATATTTATATACCTACGTTTTCGTTCTCCGAAATAACAATTAAACCATGATCGGTGGGGGGGGGGATTATCCTCCGTCCGGTCCACAGGTCTCCTCGTCGTCGTCGTCATCATCGGTGATCAATGGTTGTTGATCGTCGTCTGTGACATTTCGACGCGATCAGATAATATAATACACCTTTCCCCCACCCGCACGTTTCACCCACAACTCTGGACCCGCACGGTGCACACGATGTCGTGTAGTACGGATCGGTCGTTTTTTGTGCTACGACGAAATACTCCGCGGGGCCGTCTTGGAGATGGATGATGATGACTATATGACCATAATATATGATGACGATATCCGTCGGAGAACCACCGCGTGCGACATTGCCGCCGCCTATCGTCGTAATAATATATTTTGTACGTTTTATAAGTTCCTATCGCAATAATTTAGTATCGACGAATACGGTCATGTCATTATAAGTTTACTTACTTGCCAGCAGCTACCTTACAAACCATTATGATAATAGCATATGTAACAATCCCAATCGCTAAACGTGATTGGTATACCTATTTATATCTTATAGACATAATATTATTATATACACAAAAAGGATACCTTAACCGTTTTTTCGAAACCGACGTATCGATCCCGCGAAGGACGATTGCGAAAATAGAAACCATTATATTACTGTAATAACGGTATTGTAAGAAAATTGTAAGAAAATCTATTCAAAAACACCGTTTTTTCATTCTTGCGAACGTAATTAATTGATTTAATTAATCTGTTATTGAATTTAATCGTTTCTATTTCTTATTTCTTAACCTTTTTTACACTTATATTATAGACAGGTATACTCTTAAGTATGGACGCAATTAAATAAATAAATAAAAACAAAGTCGAATTAAATTTTTTATGTTTTTTTTTTATTATTCGCTGGGTTCTCGATATTTTTTGAGTACCAGTCAATTAAATTAACAAAAATATATCACAACAATGTTCTAGTACCTAGAAGTTTATAGTCTTCATTGTAAGAAAATAAATACAAATAATAATAATATATAAAAAAAAAAAAACAATAGTAAAAAATGGCATTGTTTTTAGTTCACGTTTTGATAAAAACGTAGATTTTACAATAAATCGGGTTAATAGTTATAAACATAATACTACCAAACGTACAAGATATTTCTTAGACTAGGTAACTAACCCCGCGATATATCTCAAAAATCGTCATTTAACTCTTTGTCAGCAAAAAACTAGTTTATGTGTATATGGCAACTCTCTCTCTTTTTTAAAAATATAATCTGCTTACTTTTTATGTATATTTTTTCACCTCAAAAATTAAGTACTTATTGATAAAAAAATAAATACACTTAGATTTGCGTTCAAAGAGTTAAATTAATTTAATACATATTTATTAAAGGGCTAAAACACGTTTGAATTTAAGAAATAATAATATTATAGCCTAATAGTAATGACTGGGAGGACATTTTATTCATGATCTTTACATTTTATTTTACAAAAAAGAAAAGTTTAAAAAAGGTTATAAAAGAAACATCTTAAACATAATTAAATACAATAATTAATAATTATGCAGGAGTGGTAGGCATTTAAGCCTTATATACACTGTACAAATACATTTGTTTTTTCGTTTGTTTTTTTTTTTTACAAAATAGTCACTATCTAATATCACAAATTTAATTATTAGGCAAGATAAGTTTTTAATTTTCATACCGTGTATTATATATGAATGGCAAGCGGTCTTGAGTAGTTGTTGTGTACCCCTCTGTGATGGTGATGATGGTGGTGGTGATGCTTGTGGTTGATTGTTTTCGGCCTTTGGTTGTTGGGGACGTCCGGAAGCGCGAATTTCAGCTTCTCCCAGAAATGCTTGTCACCCCACTGCAGGTACGAATTAGTCTTGAGGTAGAGTCGGATGTCCGGATCTAGGTCCTTGTTGGGCACCTCTCCCAGTAGTATAACGATCAGTCTCTTCCTCTTATCTCGGAGTACTTGATGGTGTGCGGATTTAAATTCGAACCGGCACCACTCAGACTTAATAAAGTTCTCCGATAGCACCATTATCGTGCGTTTAGACGACTCCACCGCCTGCACGATCGTGTCGGATATGTAACCACCGGCTGGAAACTCTCTGTAGTGCAGACACAACTTGTACGACGGGTCGCCATTTTCCAGTATCGGAGCCAATTCCTCGATAACGAACGCCTCGTCTTTGGAACTGTAGCTGACGAACGCGTCGAACAACTTATCCCGCTCGTCCATCTCAAACTCGGTGCTCTTGCAGAATATCCGAACGCCGAATCTGGAGTGACACCAAACTTTCATTTCATGTCGGAAAACGTACACCATCATGGCGGCGACAATTATGAAAAACACGGCCGAAAATGACACTATCAGGATCGGTATGTAGTCCTGAATGTCCGGCCTTTGGATGATGGTCTTGGTAGGCGCGGTCAGGTTACCACCGTTGAGGGCTCCTTCGATAGTGTTCGACGACGTGTTGAACGGTTTTTCGACCGACGAAGGGGTCGTGGGCCCGCAAACCGTACCGTTTTCGCTGTTTATATTGTACCCGCCCGAATGGTCGAGGCAACGGACCTGTTCGGCGTCCACCACCGCGTCCGCAGCGTATTGTAGGAACTCTTTCATTTGTTGAACAAAATCGCAAGCGCAACTCCACTGGTTCTCGGCCAGGGTCAGATGGGTGAGCGTCGGCGACAGTCTCCACACCGGAAACTGTGCTATCCGGTTGTGGTCCAAGCGAAGTATGGTCAGCTGTTGCAGGAAACGAAATGTCGTGCTGTTTATGTACGTTATACGATTGTGGTTTAAATAGAGCTCCTTGAGCTTGTCCAGTCCGTAAAACTCGTCACCGTACAATGTGGATATACGGTTGTCGTCCAAGTGTAGCACTTCGAGTTCCTTGAGTCCGTGGAATGTCCGGTTTTGCACGCGCTCCACGTTCGAAGAATTCAAGTAGAGAACTTTCAAGATTTTTCTGCCCAAAAACGTGTGCGTGCTCAGAGTCTTGATCGTGTTGCCGTCCAAGTATAAAACCGTGGTGTTCATCGGTATTTTATCCGGCACTCTGTTTATGTAACCGGCACTCGAGCAGTCGACCACGTTGGACGTGGAGCTGACGCTATGGAAACACGTACAATTCGTTGGACATATCATTTTGCAATCGCAAGCGTCAAAATCACAACAGTCGCACGTGCTGCGTTTCGCGCACTCCATGTCGTATTGGCACAAAAACTGTTCTTCGGACGCTTCTTTCAACAGTACTCGGGACTCGCCTCGATTGTATATGACCTCGCACGTGGCCGTCTCCAAGTCGACAAGTTTGGGTTTGTTCCGATCGGGTTCGACACTATACGCTTGTAGCCACTGCATCGAACAGTCGCACACGAACGGATTGTTGCCGACTAGAAACTGTGGCATAGTCCGACCCACCGGAACCGTCGATATCCTAAGCGATTGCGGGTTCAGTGTTTTCAAACGGTTTCCGGTCAGGTCCACTTGCGTGAGATTTGGTTTTTTGAAAAACGCGTACGATTGTATTTTGGAAATTTGATTGTTGGACAGATACAGATTTTGTACTTTATCCGGGATCGAACTACCAGTCACTTCAGTCAATTTATTGTTACTGGCGTCGAATCCTGTCAGTTGCGTTTCCAACTCGTAGTGATTACCGAGCTCGGTGATTTGATTGCCGTGTATGTCTAACCACTGTAATCCCGTTGGTATCAGAGCATAATCGAACCATTCTAAGAAGTTTTCCGATATGTTTAACCACACGAGATTCGACAGTTTGGAAAAAAGTCCACCGACGTCCCGTAAATAATTGCCGTCCACCCTGACCGCTACCAGTCTAGTGTTATTATCAAAAGTACCGGCTTCTATTTTTTGGATTTTATTATTGGCGAGGTTTATGAGATGCAGTTCTGGTAGTCTATCAAAAACGCCCTTGGACACATTGGATATTTGATTTTTCAACAGTTTCAACCCGATGAGCTGACTCATGGCCGGAAACGACGTGTTGAATATGTCGGTGATCTGATTGTAGCCCAAATCCAATGTTTTTAGATTGGGAATATTATTCAGAACCGCCGGTATATCGTACAGTTTATTTCCGTTGAGGTGTAAGTATTCCAAATCGGTAGAGTTCCTCAGCGCCTCCGGATCGATGTACTGTATTTGATTGTTGTCGAGCGATAGTTGGTTTAATGAGGGCAGACCGTCGAACGTGAACTGATCGATTCTGGTCAATTTGTTGCTGGAGAGCACCAACGTTCTCATGTCTATCAGCGACGAAAACACGTTCTCCGGCAAGTACTGAACACCGTTATTATCCAGTCGTAACGATCGGAGCCGGTACAAATCTCGAAATATCATCGCGTCCAATTTAGTTATGTTGTTGTTGGACATGCTCAAAAACACGAGGCGCACGAGACCGGTAAACGTGGCCGCGTTCACCCATTCCTCGGTCAGCTGATTTTCGGAAAGGTCCAGCACCAGCAACCGGGACAGTTCGTTGAACAGCCCGGGTGCAAGTACGTTTATGGTGTTGTTCTGCAGGTACATCTCGCGCAGGTCGCGAGTGTCGGCGAACAACTCGGGCGCCAGATTGACCAGCCGGTTGGAGGCGACGTTGAGCACGGACAGCGCGGACAGGCCGTCGAAACCGTGGTCACCGATCACCGATATGACGTTGCCTTGCAAGTGCAAGTCCTGCAAGTTGGTCAGGTGCGAGAACACTTGCGAGTTGATCGAGTCGAAGTTGTTGTACGACAGGTCGAGCACTTGGAGGTTGGCGCCGCACTTCTGTTGCCCGGACGACCCGAAGTGGAAAAGCTCGAGGTGCCGGAGTCGGTTCCGGGTGAGGTTCAGGTAGACGAGGTTCTGCAGCGAGCAGAACACGCCCTCCGGCAGCTTGGCGATATTGTTGTGGCTCAAGTCGAGCCGCTCGAGCATGTTGAGCTCCTCCAGGAACGTATCGGGCTGCACTTCCATGTTGACCGACGTCCAGTCGTTGTTGTGCGTGACGACCGTGAGGTTACGCAACTGCCGGAGCCCGCGGAACGACTCCCGGCCCAGGCTGTTGAGCTTGCACGAGTCGATCGTCAGCTCCCTGAGATCGATGAGCGTCTGGAACGTGCCCGTGCCCAGCGAGCTGAGCAGGTACAGCTGCGAGTTGCACTCGATTTTCAGCTTGACCGTATACTGCGGCTGTATTATACTAAAATTGGTCTTTTCCAGCTCGGAGTTCATGGTCCGCACACGGCAGTGCAGGGCCACCTCTTGTTCGTCGGACACGGTCTGCGACGCGATCGTCTCGTCACCGTACGCGGTCACGGCCAGCCACTCGCACTCGTTGGGCGGCTTGTGCCGGAGCGTCTTACTCAGCGACGCCGACATGACCAGCAGCACCGAGCTGACGAGCACCGCGGCGGACGTTAGAGCCATTATGGTCCGGGGGGCGCGAGGGGGCGCGTTGGTCGGGGGGGTGGTTGTTTTTCACGCGGACGTGAATGGGGGCCGGAACGCAAGAAATACGCGTTCGATCGCCGTCACCGCCTGGACACCATTTGCGATGTGCGATCGCGAAAAAGAGACATCAACGAACGGGCATGGTGACGAGGCGGGCTAAGAGATATTATTGTAATATCGAAAAAAAAAAAAATTTCAAATTCACCACCGATTTTATATTAATTCGTACTCGTATCCGTCACGCGCGCACTCGAGAAAAACACACGCACGCACACGCGACATTCGCGAACGCAACACACACGCTGATATTATACTTGTAAATACTATAATAATACGATTATTATTATTATTATTATCGGACGGAATAATAACGCGACGCGAACTATATCATATACACACACACTCTGAGATACGCGCGCGCGCGCGTAAACACCACTACGACGGTCGGCAGGCACTCGGAGACTGAATGCGCTGCGGGCGGAACGAGGACTGGTTGCCGTTTGGTGTACGCCGCCGCAGCCGCCGCCGCCGTTCTCCCACCAGCCGCACGGCATAATATTCCGTTCGCTTTTGCCGCCGCCGCTGCCGCCGCCAGGGTCGTCTTGTTTCCCAGTCCGTCGCCGCCGCCGCGCGTACGTGCGTCGTACCTATACGCAGTCTGTCTGTCCGTCCGTCGTCCGTCTATTCACCCGGTACACTTTTAACACCTACTTAACATAGGGCGTCCCCCCCCTCTCCTCTCCTCCCCAGCCCGGGTCGTCGTTCCGGCCGCCGCCGCTCGCGTTGTACTCGTGTAGTACCCATCACGAAATATATTTTAGAAAATATCCTAAAAATCATCGTCGCACATTATTCGTCGTCTGTTACGATTTACAATAACGACATTGTTTCGCGTGTGTGTGATGGCGCACTGTTATAATTATATTATAATATACTTGAGCACGCTTAACCGGCGTCGGCAAAACCATGATGATAATAATATATTGTGTTCATCGACCCGCCGCGTGTGAATTCGGTGGTTATAATATATTATGATATCACGTTATATTATTATTATGATGGCTATATCATTATTGACTATACCTTATTATATATTATTATTATTATGCATAAATAATGATCTCATTTACATCCGCGTTCTCTATAGAATATACTAGCCGAGTATAGTTAACATGAGCGTAATAGGTATAGATTGATACTAGTCAATATTTAAAAAAAAATAGTTATAATATACCGAAATTTAAAGGTTATCAACATTTCTTTTTAAACTTTAAACTATTGCGCTGCATTAAAATACGTTAAGAAACCGGGAATTTAGAACCATTTCGAACTCGTTATATTATATTATAATAACGATATCATCATAGTGCAATTCAAATAAAATTATTAAAATGTTTCTCCAATTTGAGCCAATAATCGAATTTTAGACGTCGGTATTTGTATAACTTACTGCCAACATTGGAACGATTAGTGCACTGTTTGTTTTAAAACATTTACCCCCCTCTCCAAAAACAAAAGTCTTGAAAATATTTCCATATCGCGCTGACTGTGGATAAATTTGACCATGAGCCCCAGAAATCTCCGTAGGTCAGCACACGCGTCGAGAGAAACGTTTTTTTTAATCTACCTCTGCTGTACGGCGACGAGACTGCAACCACCACCGACTTCGGCTGGTGACTTGTGCGTGCGTGCATGGTGTACTCGAGTGCCGAGTTTTTTCTCACTTTTTTCCGTCTTTTTTTCGCTATACACATTGTCAACGACGGCGCGTAATGAACATGACGAGTAGTCGAACACGTTATATTGACGAGACACACTTTGAATTATTATCGAACCGACTATTATAAACGACTTCACAATAATAATAATATAACAACTCGGTTATTTCTTTCCGCGTACACTCCACCGTGGTAGTATCATATAATGTTTACAATCATGCCGGCGGATGACTTCGATTTTTAATTCTGTTTTCTATTTTACGAGTCTCTCGTAATATATATATAATATATCGTACCTGTATAATACAGCCGACGCGAAGCTGTGCTTCGTAAAAATAATGTATACCTACATATTGTTATGAAGGTTCGGCTTGGCGTATAACGCGCAGCATGTGTTAAAATCGATTAAAATTTAAAATATTATATATTATTCTTATGGTAGGTATATCTCATTATTATAATAATGTTATTATTATGCTATTTTGTCGAGTGTGTAACAGAATGGAATATTTTCGTTAGAGAAATATATTATATATATGGTGTTTGGAAAAACGATGATAATAATGACATATGTACATGTATACCAACATATATAGGTAGAAAATCTAATTTTGCTCTCGACGGTTCACTGCTACGGTACACTTCTTCAGCAGTGGTCGTCCAAGCGTTTACGTCTGTATTTTAAATAATATAAAAGTAATGCCATATTGTTATTGCACCTATATAAGATTTAATATTTAAATAATGTAGGTACTAAGTAGGTACAGGCTGCAGGTACCTACCTCTCGTCATAACATGTTTATTGGAGCGCTTCGCTCGTGTTTGTATAACTTGTGTAGTTGTGTGACTTGCGATTTTAAAACATTTCGCCGAGTAAAATATAATATACACAAGGTCCCTTGAGGTCCTGCACCGTCGTACCTATACCTACTTACCCTATTTATACCGGATCGCCGCGTGCTGAATCGCCCTCCATCCCCGACTTTGGTTTCGCCTGTCTGTGCATGCCTCGTACATTAAAATTTCCCTATTTATGCGAACGTGATATGTGTATATAATAATAATGCTATATATGGGTACGATATATATTGTTACAACGCGCAGTATCCATTTCACCTGTCGATGCGCGAGTTTTCTCAAAAATATTTACTCTCCGTCTCGCGTCCCGAGTGGCCTCCCCGCAGCCCTGACCAATGTCCTTTTATCTAATTTGACGTCTATATATTATCATTACTTTTGTGATGCGTTGCAGCCAGACCGTTGCATACACAACTCAAAAAGGAGCCGGCCCGTTTCCACCGGGAGATCGAATTATGTGTGTTCGTTTGGCATTTAGTCGTCGGGAGGGTTCATGTACCTATATTATACTTGTATAGATATAATTCTATATATTATAAATACACGCGAGCAGCGCGCGCAACAATGGGACAGGCGGTATTCATTATTCCTAACTACCCGCCGCCGCTTATTATACTATACATATAGGTAGGGCCCAGTTTTTTTCCTGGTTCTTTTCTTCTTCCTCGACCCGTGCTAAAACGCACCCCAACCACCTGAATGCACCAGGTGAAGACGACTACGACTACGACGAGTATAATATATAATTTATACACTGTTAAAAAATGCATTTTTAATACCAAACCGCTCGTTGATTTATAACTAATCGTGAGAGACCTCGCCGAAGTGTTCATCTATCGCATTAGACACGAAATTAGTGGTATTTTTTCACGGTCCATAAGTCATTTTTTTCGGACGGATGTAAAAAATAATGAGTAAATGCCAATGTAGGTATTCATTCGCGATTATTTCTTTGCCATTACACTCGCGGATAGCCGAACGAATTTCTATTTGGGGTCCTAAAAAAATTATGCGTTCCGAGATGCGAGCACACACGCACGCACGTGCAAAGGGGTTGATAGAATTCAGCTGTTATCATTAGTTAAAAAAAATATTCGAGACGGTAAAAAAACCTAAAACACTGCGTTCGTTCGACTGTGCCACAGTAGTGTTATATTATAATAATAGTGACAGCGTTCGGTGACGATTGACATATTTTGTGAGTGCGTATACGAACGGACTAAAATAAACTCATTAAACACCACTATAGGAAAACACCATTAAGCACCGAGAAGTTTTTTAGTAAAAAAAAAACAAAGACTAATAATATAATAATAATCTATACGCCAGATTTTGTTGGTTTTAGAAAGAAAAAGAGTCTATTGCGGGTACCTATATTATAATATCCTACTATTCCGTATAATAAATAATATATTATATGCGCGCCAAAGAAGACCCTTGCCGCGATTTTCACGTGCCTACCCATATTTATATGTATATATATTATTATAATAGGCACTGGCCCGGAGACAGCGTGTACTCGTAATAAATATACGTTATTTTCCTATTTGATCGTTTCGATCATAATATTATAATTGTAATATACTACGTACATGTTGTTATTATAGATATTATGTAGGTATATCGCGCGCGCACTGCTCGCATATAGGCTCGCTTCCTCGGAGGCATCGGGACGTCGTTGACGACCAGCGATCTGATAACGATATTATAATGTGGGTTTGTCATTAAACCCACACTTGGGTTCCTGTAAATTACAATGCGTATGGGAGGAGTTAACGATGTCGACAACCTTATATAGGTAAAAACAAAAACAAAAAAAAAAAAATATGAAAATAAACATTGTCGAATATACACACTCACACATCATATAGGTAATAGTATATTATATGACTACGAAATATAAAAAGCAACCGAACCGATCTGAACGTTCCTCCCGCGGCCGCTCGAGTGCAAGATGGGTGGTGGGTGAGGGGGCTAATTAACTGCAGTGAAGAGTAGGTATATATGGTCTGCATTTAAGCCCGTTGTAGGTACCTATATATAACAGTGAACACTATATAATTGATGCAGTTCAAGACGTCATGGATGTGGTATATACACGGTTATTATGTATATCCATCAAGGGGTTTCGTCTTAGGGGTGGTGTGTCCAGCGTTTGTGAGTTGTGGAGGGGGGGGGGTGTAATTTACTCGATAATCTCGTTAACGTTTTTTTAGTACTTGGCCGGTGTACTTCGAGGAGTATACCTGTAGCTGTAGGATTTGACAATGCCCCGCACTGAAATTAAATTTAAATATTATGTCCTATAGATTTACATACCTATATTATGCACCATCGCATTTATATATTAATTATATTCATTATCATTTATCAGATTGTCCACAATATTGCACTAATTAC